GCCAGTTATAGTGGTGTAGTTTTAGTTTTTTAACCATTCCCTAACTATGATTCACTTAGGTCCTTGACACACTTTGTTTATGAATGCAAAGACCATCTTTATTAACTGTGGCTCTCCGATTATTTACTAGGAGAGGGTGGCATTCGGGGGTAGAAAATTTTAGGCTGAAACCTAGATTTAACTGGTTTTTGTTTTGAGACCAGGGTCTCACTATGTAACCCTGACTTGCTTGGAACTCACTCTGTAGACCAGCCTACTCACAGAGATCTGCCTGCCTCTGCCTCTCGTGTGTGCTACCACACCCAGCCTACACTTTATTTTTTTAGATAGATTCTCTCTCACTGAACCAGGAGACCCACTTTAGCTAGACTGACTGGCCAGTGAGTTCCAGGATCCTCTTGTCTCTGTCCCTCAGAGACACTATTTAACACACTATTGTTAAAATCCCTTCCTACAGGAGATTTAAGTCCTACCTACCCTTCCTCTAAGGTCCCAAAGATAAATTGAGGCACAGTTCCATCAAAGTTCACTCTGGAAAGCCAATGAATTTTGTGGGATTCCTTAACAGATCGTAGGTGAGGAGTTACTTACAGAGGTGTGGGCAATCTACCCTCAATAGGCTACATCTGCTAAGTCCTTACCCCAAAGGGATGAGGGCTTCCTGCAGCCAGACGGAGTCTCTTCCCCCTTGGGCTTCCCCTGCCTATATACTTTAGCTCCTCCCCAAGGTCACATGCAACTAAGGCAGCATTGCATACAACAGGTGGTAGGCAGCTCAGGTGAGAGTCTTGTGGTTCTTCCCACCCATCCATGAAGGGGTATAAATAACTAACAAGCCCAGCTGGTATAATCCTTTTGCAAGAGGGTGCATCTGAACTTCCCAAGATGGTGACTAATTGGCTCAGCAGATAGTCATGAACCACACATATCCCTCCCCACTTTTTACATGGGTGCTAAGGAGCCAATCTTGGAGCCTCACACTTATCCACTGAGATATCTCCCTGGCCTTGTTTGTTTGTTTGTTTGTTTTTTGTTTTGTTTTTTAGATAGTATCTCACCTTACATTCTGGGTTGAGCTGAAACTTGTGTAGCCCGGTTACTCTCAAATATGTGACCCTCCTTGCTGGGATTTTAAGCATGTACACATGCCTCTGAATGTACTTTGCAAGGAGAAATAGCATGAGCTGAGCCCCAGGATCCAGACAAGAGGACAACAAAAGGCTGCTTTGGGGCCTGGGGAGCGTATATTGATTTCATCCTGGGATCCTGGCTGGCATTTAGAATTTTTTAAAAGATTTTATTTATTTATTATTCATACAGTTTTCTGCCTGCATGGCAGCAGGAGGCACCAGATATCATTCAAGGTGGTTGTGAGCCACCATGTGGTTGCTGGAAATTGAACTTAGGACCTCTGGAAGAACAGTCAGTGCTCTTAACCGCTGAGCCATCTCTCCAGCCCGGCATTTAGAATTTCTATACTTGTCAGTCAAACACACACTCAATTAAAACCTAACAATAGCCTTGTAGCCTTAAGAAGCATCCTTCTCATTAGCCTACTTAAAGTTTAACAACTAAACTGAGACACGAGGAGGCTGGGCCACTTGGCTAAGGTCACCAGACAGTGGCATAGCCAAGCTAGACCTAGGCAGCCTGTATACTGGCCACCACCTCACATGCTCCCAGCACCAGCAACACTGGAGATTCAGAAACACCAACCACAGAGGGAACCAAAGGTCTGGGCTGAGTGGAGAGGGAGGAACTTCTCTATTGACAAATACTAGTCATAGTGCCTTGCATCCCAGGAACCATTTGCTATAGCAAAGGAGCAGGGCCAAGCATGTCATGGCCAAAGGTCAACTGAGAGACCACCTTAGGGCCTACTAGTCCTCAGCAAAGTTCAGGAGTGGTTATGAGGAAGCGTTTTCTTTGTGGAAACTGAGGCATGAGTTAGCTTGAGGGGAGGAGCTGTGGTATAGAGGTGGATGCAGAAGCCACCATGAAGGCGTGACCTTGGGAAACTTTGAAATTTGCATCGACCTTGGGTCTGCTACAAGCTATGAGACTAGGGGCAAAGAAAGCATGTGTCCCATGGGTTTGCTTACTTATGGTTCTCAGAGGTCCCCGACATAGCATTACTTGGAACCCATTTAAAAAGCAAATTAAAACTGATAAACCCAAGACTGGGAGGCTGTGGCACATGCCTTTAATCCCAGCACTCCTGAGGCAGAGGCAGGCTCCATGAGTTTGAGGCCAGCCTGGTCTACAGAGCGAGTTCCAGGATAGCCAGAGCTGTTACACAGAGAAACCCTGTCTTGTAAAACAAACAAACAAAAAAAACAAAAAAACAAAACAAAGCTGCTAAATCCTGTCTGTTTTCTAACTACCCCCACCCAAAGGGGACGATGACAGTTGCTAGGGCTTTTGGCTATGGGTGGTTCTTTAGGCAGAATGCCAGAGCTCCTGATATGCTATCCCCTGGGGCTTCTTGACCTGGGAAGTCTCAGTTTGAAGGACAGTAAGAGGGACAGAACTGGAGTAGAGTCCAAGGTCACGGGAGGGCTGCCCTGGGTGGAGGTCCAATGCAGACACTCTGGAAAATGACTTGTCACTGGAGCTTAAATGCCGTGATGAGTCACTGGGGGAAGTTGGGCTACATTCAGCTCCCTTGAAAGAAAGCAAGGAAGTGTGGCACGCATTGAAAATGCTCTCTCAAACCAGGGTAAGATTGAAAATGGGTGAGGGGAGACAGCTTGGGCTAGCTCGGTTTTCAGGGTGTCAGATGATGAGGAACAGAGCACAGGCTTCAGGAGCAAAACTGGGCGCATGTTGAGACTCAGTCATTCCTGTCTGTCCCTGGCCTCAGTTTCTTTTTCTATAAAACATTGTCACCTATGTCACAGTGGGGTCATGAGTAAATGAGGTTGGCCCAGAAGTGGGACAGTGCCTGACTTACAGAAAGTACGCTACAATGCAAGCAAGTTCTCTCCCTGTGTGTCCCATGGATTTGCTAATTCATAGTCCTCAGAGGGCCCAGACAGACAGCAATAGCATTACCGAGAAACTGTTCTAAAGCTGCCAACTCCCAAGCCTGTGTTCCAACTACCCCTATCCCAAGGGGACAATGACAGTGGCTAGGGGCTGGGGACATGCCACTAATTCATAATTATTAGGGTCGTTACACTAGAACAGGAAGAACATTTCCCTCTTAACAGTAGGGTAAGTTTGGCTGAGATCTATGCTACACCTATGACAAAGCAGTATACAGAAAATTCCTTGCCTGGGCAAACTGGAGACATTCTCATCCTAAGAAGACATTGTGGGGTGTGGCTCTTAAAAAGCATCTGCATCCAGGGAGGTCCGAGGGGAGGGCTTTGACATGGGGGAGGAGCTAAGCTAGGAGAGGGTCTGGTGACACAGGTGATGGCCGTTAAGAGGCCATCCAAGTCCTCAGCAAAGTTCAGGGTGGTTATGAGCATGGGTTTTCTTTGTGGAAACTGGGGTAGGGATTAACTTGAGGGGAGGAGCTGTAGAATGAGGCAGATGCAGAGGTCTCTGTGAGAGCGAGATCTTGGGAAACTGTTTGAAATTTGCAGTGACCTTGGGTCTGCTATAAGGTATGAGAGTGTCATACCTTATAGGGCCAAAAAGGGCACATCTGAACTGAGAAGGATTGGGTTTTAAGGCTTGGAGGCCAATATCTGTAATAACTATTGATTTATTTTATAAACATTAGGGTATCACCATTGTGCCACCAGCTCCTTCTCTGGGCCTGGGGACATAAAAATGTAAGGAATATAGATAGACAAATGAAATGTCACTGCAGTTTGTGGCCAGCCTCAAAGGGGACCCGCTTTAATGAAAATATGAGAGTTGATTGTGGGGCTGGGAATCTAGGTCAGTGGTGGAATTCTTACCTAGCATGCACAGCTCCTGGGTTCCCTTCCAACACTAACACACACACACACACACACACACACACACACACACACATATACACACTACACACACCATAAACACACCACACACACATACAAACACACACCACACACCCACACACCACACACACCACCCACACACACCACACACCATACACACACACCACACACACCACCCACACACACCACACGCCATACACACACACCACACACAACACACATACACCACACACACACCATACACACCACACACACCACACACACACACACACACACACACTCACGATGATGTTTGCCACGGTAGGGAAGGAGGTCACACACTTGGTCACGTAGGGGGAACTTCGAGAAAGGCAGTTTGACCCCATCCCCTCCTGCAGGATGGTGTGGGAGGGCTTGCAGGGACATGTCCACTCAGTTAACAATTTTGTCAGCGCTTCTTCAGAGTAGCTGGATCTTCACTCCTTTCATTTCCCCTTCCTGTTCTCTGAGGCTGTGTGAAACTTCCAGAAGAGCCTGGCATCGATTAGAGAGCTCTTAGGCTGCTTCATTGTCACACTGATGTTGAGGCACCCTAATGAATTAGATGCGGGAAGCAAACAGGAATGACCTGAGCACCGTCACCCAATGGGACCACAGCTGCTTAGCAGATAAGAGCAGTCCCTGCAGCTGTTTATGTCCACAGTGTAGAAGCTTTGACTTTTTACCCACACTTGCCTAATCTGGTCATTCTCAAACCACAGTGAGCATTAGAGTACCATGAAGGCCTTGTCAAACACAGAGTGTAGGACTTTGCCTAAGCAGACAGTCTGTGGTGCGGCAGGATAATGGGCATTTTAATAAATGGCCTGCTGATGCTGGCCACTGCTCTGGAGGACACAATGAGAAGGAAGCACTTACCCAGGATCTTACCTCCGTTTGTCGGCCCAAGCGTAGGTCTTAGGACAGAACAGAAAGATGGTTTGCATGAGCGTGGTCAGCTGCACTCTGCACTGAAAGTCCCGGGAGGTTCTTCGCTTACTGTGAACTCAGCCCTTTTTATGCTTAAATGTTCACCTAAGCATAGAGATGAGCTATTTGGCACAATGCTGAAGCCCCAGGAGCCTCAGAGAATGGAAATCCTGGGAATGAGAGCATCCCTCACTTGCAGAGAATGTTCTACCCGTTATCTAGATGCTTGAAGAATTCTCAGCCTGGATGGTGGATGGTGAGATTTCACTGTGTCTGCAAGATTATTGACCTTTCTTTCTTTTCTTTTCTTTCTTTTTTTTTTTTTGGATAAGTTCCTACTATGTTACCCTTGCTATTCTGGAACTCACTGTATAGACCAGGCTGGCCTCTATACTCACAGGGAGTCTGCATGCTTGTGTCTCCTGGGTGCTGGGATTAAAGGCATGCACCATCACAGTTGGCAAATTGCCTACACTTAAAGAAAAAGCCAAGAGTAAATAAATAAATAAATAAATAAATAAATAAATAAATAAATAAACAACAAAAACCCTAGGAGCCCATTTGTCCTTTGTGCAAAATCTTCCTATAATCAATGGTTGCATGCGGTGCCTACCTATGGCAGGACACTTCAGAGTTCCTGTTGTCACTAGGCAGATTCCTGCAGCTGTCTGCAGCAGAGTCTTCCTCTAGTGTAGTGGTTCTCAACCTTCCTAATGCTGTGACAGTTTATTTGTGGTGACCCCCAATCATAAACCTATTCTCATTGCTACTTCCTAACTGTAATTTTGCTACAGTTATGAATCATAATGTAAATATCTGTTTTCTGATGGTCTTGGGCAATCCCTGTGAGTGGATATGGCAGAGCCTGGCCCAGAGGCAGTGAACCTGGACTGAATTTCTACTAGGGCAATGCTGCTTAAGTCACTGTGCACATGAATCACTGAGCTCGTTAAAACGAAGACTCCAATTTGGGGTCTAGTGACAGGGCCCAGTTTGCATGTTAGTAAGTTGTAGGGTGATGACAACGTTGATGTCTGTGACACCTGGGGCCTTTGATCCACAGCTTCTTCAAAAGAAATCGGAGTGGACTCTTCAAATAGTCCTTCTAGAGACTGAAGTGGCTCAGTTGGTGATGTGTCTGCTGGGCAAGCATGAGGACCTGAGTTCCAGCACCTGTGCAAAAGCAGAGCGAGCAGTGTACTGTCATCACAGCACTGGGGAGGCAGAGGCAGCCTGACCCCTGAAGCTTATTGGTCAGCCCAGCTTAGTGCAACTGGTGCATTGCCAGTTCAGTAAAATAGACTGTCTCAAAAAGGTGGAGAGCAATTGAGGAGGACACGTGACATTGACCCTTGTATGTATACCAGCTTGTACATGGACCATATACAGGGAGGTGGGTGGGGAGGTAGAGAGATCGCGCTTTTGTAGATTAGGCCTAGGAGAGAGGTCTTACACTTTAACAGTGACGTAATTGGTGGATCTCAAATTCGACTGTGATTTTCAACTGTGATGCTCTCTGTGATATTGCTGTGGGGCTCAGAACTCAGAGAGCATCTGGTACCAAGTGAAGGAACACATTGGGTTGCTCTTCTCTGCCACTAATGACACCTGCTCATCGATTGCTTATGGGTAATGACAAAGCCCACCTTGGCACTCCTGTAAAATAAGGAGAAGCTATTGGGTAGAGGGTGAGGTAGACAGAGTGGAGATGTAAGTTCATAAATTTCCCCCCGACTTCTTTGCTGGCCGTGCTGAGAATGAACGGTGGGAACACAAGAGCGAGACATCAAATGTCAGCAGTGGAGGCTTTAGGAACGCAGAGATTCTAGATATATTTGGTAGGGGGGGAATCAACAGTCTTTGCTTACAGGATGGGGTGGAGGTGGATGAAGGCCAAGTCTAAGACTTTGGGGTTAAGAACTGGTAGCAAGGAACTGGGTGAAAATGTCATGGGGGAGAGTGGTCAGGAATACCATTTTGTTTCCCACAGGATGACAGAGGGGCGCATGCTATGCAGCTGATGAGGTGGGCTCCTACAGGAGAGGCCCCACGGTCACCAGAGAGCATCCTCTGTACTTTAGGTCCGGCTAAGCCCAAGGCCATGCTCTGGAAGAGGTGAGTGTTTGGGTAAAGGACTGATAAATACAAAGCTAGGGGTATTTGAGCAACAGGAAATCAGACCAGCACTTCTCTTTGTTTCTTTATTAATAAGTAGAGATACACAAAGACTCGATAAAAAGTTACATAAAAGGCTCAAGCATCATCAAGACGTCTAGGCATCACTCTCGTTTCTTGACAATGGCCACCGGCTAATACTGTCACTCAAAGGGCTCAGTGTTTCAAGTATCTGGCATTCTAGGGAAACCCCAGCCAATGTGGAGTCTCCACCCAGGTGGGCTGCTAAAGGAAGGGACCCCTCTGTGGCCCTGGACTTAGTGTAGCAGGTCTGAGGGGCGTTGGGGTTAGAGCTGCCAGGGTTGGTGGGTCACATCTCCTGGCAGGCAAGACAAGCTACACTAATTCAGTCAGGTACTCTCACAGCAAGAGCCGTGGAGAGGTGGGACACTCCTAAGAGAAACATCCAGATGTCTCCTGTGTGGCAAAGTGCTTGGGAAGGAAGTAGCCATGGCATAGCCCCATTCTGGGGGAGAGGGGCTGGCTAAGGAGAGAAAAGGAGCCTAAAAGGAGGTGTCAGAGTAGTGGGAGAAAAGCAGGGTTAACAGAGGGATGGGGTGAGGGGTTCACAATAGAGGGGTAGAGGTGAGGGGATGCCAGGGAGGGTGTACATCGGGGGACATGATGGGAACGCGCGTTTCTGCAAAACCAGAGAGGAAACCTCATTATGACAACTTGGCTATAGACCCAAAGGGTCCCCAGTCACCCGGTGTGTGGCCAGCTAGGATTCCTGGCTTTCCCTGTCGGCTGGTGATGGAGGTGTTCTGAGTGTATTTTATTTGGCCTCTCTGGAAACTCTGTCAAAGGCCCATTTCTAACTCTGGAGTGTCACATACCCAGTTCACTTATTGGAGAAATGGGGTTCTGGGAGATGAGAGCTTATCAGGAGCCCTGAATCAGAGACTGTGGAAGGCCAGATGCTAGAAGGGATGCCCTGGATGACGGGCCTGGATGATGGGCCTCTTCTGAGAGGAGCAGGAATTCTGGGAGCCTTCCTTCTAGTTACCTGTGTGACTCGGGGCTTTGGTCTAGGTAACTGCTCTACTTCCAGTGAGAGTCCCCACTCAGCACAGTGGAGGTGTCACTCCACAGAGGCAGGGGTGTGCTGGTGGCAGGTGGCAGGTGGCAGGAGATGGGGCCTCTCTGGCAGTGGCTGCTGCCCCGAGTGCAGGGCCTTCTGTCTCTGCAGTCTGTGTGGAGCACCAGGACCTCACTCCTATTTGTCCCCCTCTCTCTAGGTGGCAGCTGCTGTGGGTGCAGATCAGCTCCTAAGGCTGAAGCAATCCTGGTCCTTTTAGTGTTGAAAAACTCATAAGTACTACAGGATCTGGGAAATGGTGAGATACCTCATCTGGAATGTTCTTTGGTAGCCTTGCTAGGAACAGAAAAAAGTGGAGTGGGAAGGCGTTGCATTTGATGATAAGAAGTTTGATCTTCAGCTAGCAATCACTTCCTTCTGTAGCAGAGCTGTCCCTTGGACAGGCTTCCTGTGATAGGACTTTCTGGGATGGAAAAGAATCGTGAGGCTGGACATCCACTTGGTGCTCCCTTGCCTTGGATTTCTTTCCACCAGTTTCTTTCTCCAGAGTGGCCCAGCCACCTGGTGGGGAACTCTGTTTTGCACGGTGAGCTGGCAAATGCTCTCACTAGCTGCGCTGCCTCTTCTGACTCTCCCATGGGGTGTACCTTGTCTCTGCTGTCCCCGCACCCAGATTCCACCTACAAAACCCCAATCTTTACCCCAGCAGCAGAACCACAAGGAGGGGTGCATCGTGGCAGGAGAAGGGTGTCCCTGACGAAATGAGTGTGTGGACTGTGTCTTCAGCTCAACTCTCTTTTCTCCTTCCACCTAAGACAGAGAGGGCAAGGAAAGTGTGCACCAAAAGAAAACTGTACCGCTGATGCCAGAGTGTGCTCATTAGCTGGCCAGCCGACTCAGATGCAAATGGCTTCAGGTCCTGGTGCTTCGGTGGTAACAGTATTGGCTGCTTTCAAGTCAGGGCCATCATAGACAACAGCTTTCTGGATGGTGTCACATTCACCTCCTTGGACATGTTTCTATGTTTGTGTCAGAGGCACGGCAACACACAGGATGTGAGCAAGCAGGGAGGGACACATCTGAGAAGCCCAGGGCCCTGTCCACATCTGAATGCAGAATTTACCCACTGCCTGAAAAGCAAAGGAGCAGTTTGGGAAAGCCAGTCGCTTGCCTCACCCACTTTCAGGATAAGGAAATCCTTCTGGCGGTGAAATGGTCCCAGCTAGCTCTCACTTCAATGGTGGTAGGGGTGGGGGCGGGTAGCAGCGAGGGCATTTTCTTTTCTAATCTCTACATTTTCAACCACACCGAAGTCCTCCAGATAAATCCATCTCCCTCTCTCCAGTCTCTGGGGCCTGTTTGCTTCCTGGGTTTGACTCCATCCCAGACTTCTGCCAAGGTCTCCACTAACTCTGCCATCTCAGTCCTTCATCCTGGCTGGAGTTTGGCACTGCTAGGAACTCTCGGTTAAAAAGACAAGAGCATTGTTCCAGACACTAGCGGAGAGGTCTGCCAAAGCCTCGGGCTTCACCGGGCAGTGGGAACAGACCTCTTTAATAAAACAATCATTACTCAAATAATTTAAAAATCTACAAAAGACACCAGAGCTCAGACACTGGGGATGAGGGCGGGGAGGAAACTTGTTCATGGCTTGTCTGGTATATTGGATGTGGATAACACTTCCACAGCAAACCAGCCCTATGTACTTAAAAGAAACAACACACCCACCAAGAGACTGGGAACAGGGCTCAATCAACACACGAAGGGCTTGGAAACTGTGGCTCTCCTGGGAGAGGCGGCAAAGCCAGACCCTGTCTGCTCCTGCCCATCCTCCCCCCTCCCTTCCTGTGCCCAGTCCAGAGCCAAGGGTTGTGGTTAGAAGTGATTCTCAGTGCAGTTAGGCAGTGGGCTGGTCCCGGGGGCTGGCAGTTGATGGTCGCTATGCCCAGGGTTTCAGGCTATCACAAGATCACACACTGAAGTTTGTGAGTGCTAGTGGCCCGGTCTCCTCGCCACTTTGTTTTCTTTTTCTTCTTCTGGCTTTTCTCTGGAATCTGTTGCCTGTTGAATAACGAAGGACGGAAAGACAAAGTCAGACCAAGCTTTTTCTCCTCTGTCCCCTCTCTGTGACTCAAGAAGGCCTGCTCTGGACAGTCCTAGGGTGGAGACCAGGCTGCGAAGTATCCAGGGTAAGAAGACTGGAGAGGAAGGGAAGGGGAAACCAGAGCCACCTGACTGGAAATCAGTGACAATAGGTGCTGACTAGTTTATTCAGATCATAAGCACCATCACGCTTTGTAACTGAATTGGCTTCTGTTTTTCTAATTTCCATATTTTAGATTAAAAAAAAACTGGACAACCAAGTACAAAAGCCTTTACATGGTCTCTGTTAACATCTCCTAGGTCTAAAGGGTACCTTTGATGCCACTGGTCCATAAACAGTACACGGCAGCTTGGTGACCACATCACTGCCAACACAAACACCAAGTGAGGGCTGCACTGAGGAGTAATGATGAGATCAGGCTGTGGAGTGTGTGTGTGTTGGGGGGGCTATAAGCAGGGGTATGCACGTGGCAGGGGACCAAGAGGTGGTAAACAAGGAGCACTGTTACAAGGTTAGATCTGAGTCACAGCTAACCAACAGCTTCTGAGTCACCCACACAAGGTACTGAAGACAGGGGTTTAACTGTTGGGAACATGAAGGGTTTAGAATATGGACTTGATGGTGGCAGGGAACCCAGCCGGGAGGCAATTTCAGTCATCCAACATGAACCAAGTAAGGTTTTAAAGGAACGTTCAGGAGTCTGTTCTTGGGGCTGCTGGCACTTGAAGACCCACAGGCTGTGAGTCTAGGAACACACACACACACACACACACACACACACACACACACACACACACACACACACACACACACACACACACACACACACACCTCTAGAATTTGAGCCCAGGAACCATAATTGGCTGTTTCGGGGCACAGAAAGAGGGGCCTGGTCTTTGCTGTGTGGGATATGTTGAAAGCTCAGGCTTCTGAGAGTACCAGGACCTCTGATCCTGCAGGCCTGCACCCTCCATGTCCCCACCCCATTATATCCGGGGCAGTGTACAGGTGGAGGTAAACGGCAGGGGGAAATGCAAAGAGGTACAAGAAATGACAAACTAGGCTTGGGACTGCCCAGACTCCTGGCCCAGCACAGGAACTGTGTTCCTTTTGTATTCCAGTTGCAACATGGCTTGTCCCCTTCCACCACAGAGGCCACTGCCAGGGAGGGGCACAGCTGTCAGGGAGGGTACAATGCTTACCTAATTACTCTAACGAGGTCATGGAAGGCTTTGTCCACATTGAGAGGCGGGTCCTTGGCACTGGTTTCTATATACGGGATCTGGAAGGCAAAGCTCATACTGGCACCGTGACCCACAAAACCCTCTTCCACCTTTAAAACAGACACTCTAGAGGCTCTGAGAATCAGACAGAACCCCCACAAGGCTCTGAGGCTTCTTGCCTTGCAAGGCTGAAGAGTGTCACTAGTGGCTTCTCTAATTCCCTCCTGCTCTCTAGTCACAGAGGTACTTAATAGTTCCCTAGAATAGAATCCAGATAGTCTTTTTATACTCCAGAGCAAACTGTTTCACTTCCCAGACCAAGGCATACTATGATCTCCTCCATTCCTCTTTTGGGGGTGACCTCTGACCTTTTCCCTGGGCTCCTCCAGGGTAAACTTCAGTGGGAGGACTGATGAGAGGTGTGCTGTGGGAAGGACTCTGGACCTGGGTCCCCCTGGCCCCTTTCCCCCAGCTCTCTAGCCCAGCCCCACTCTGGCTGACTCTAGATCTATAAGCCTGGCAGCTCAGCAGCCCTGTTTATCCAAGGATGCTGATGGGGGCAGCATTTGGGAGCTGTGGCTGCTGCCTCACGGACCACATTCATACCACGCCTTGGACAGGCTGAGTGGGACAAAGGCTCTGGGAGGTTAAGCTACAATTCTAGGTCCTAGATAGGTACCCCAGAGAGTTAGGAAGTACTTATCCCTCCACACACAAACATGGCCTCCTGAATGGGCAGAAGTAAACTGGCTGAGGTTAGACCAAAGGATTTTGCTACGTTTCGTAACATTCATTTTTTCCTAATCACAAAGTTAGTGCCTGTTATTCTAATACATTTATAGAAGCTAAGTACAGTGAAGAATATTAAAGTCATCGGTTCCTTAAATGCATGGGGGCGGGGTGGGGGAAGAGTGCTAGAGAAAGCTGCAGTGTTAGAGCAGTTGGTGGGAAGCTTTGCCCAGGATACCCAGGAGGCTCAGCATCCGTCAGTGTGAGGTCAGGTGTCCACACACTGCAGTGGCTTCAAGCACAGGTCTTAGTGTAGTGCAGAGACACACAAAGGGCCTAGCTCAGGCTTTTGGCATTTTTATTTGAGCTTCTGATAACCCTGAGAGGACAGTGCCTTCCACAGTGGGATGACTTCCCAGGTTTCCCTATCCCTGGCCTTTGCTGAATTAACCCTTGGAGGCAAGCACCATTCTGCAGTATGGGGACAGAGCTCAGAATGGCATGCCTACAAGAACTCCACATTTCCAGGCCAGCAGAGGGTCAGTGGGAGCCTTCTACTTCCTGACTTGGCCTCCCATGGGCAGCTGTGTGTTATATCAGCTTTGGAGCTTCTTGTGAAATCCACACCATGGCTAGTTGTGGTAGGCATCCCTGATAGAAACCAGGTAGAAACCTACCTATGGGTCAGGACACTGTGCAGCCCTGGATGCATGCAGGAAACTGCCCTACCCCTGGGCATCCCACACTCTTGGGAACTCAGCAATCCTCAGTGTCTGGGGGTCTCGGAACACATGGTCCCACCTTTCTCTCTCAACCCATATCCAGCGTGAAAGCAAACGCTGCTGGTTCTTAGAAGTACAGCCCAAATCTTGACGACGATGCCCCCACATACTGCTCAGCCTTATGTGGGATGCTGGTGCAGCCCCTGCATGATTCTCCTCCTTTCCCAGTGAACTATTCTCAACATGTCACAGGAGAGAAGCTGCTCGGCCATATGTCACACCTCTCTAAAACATCCAGTGGCTTTCCTCCACAGCCTATGTAAGAGCCACAGCTTCTTAAGTCAGCTCTCTGACTACTTGCCCTCATCCACCTGCTCAGCCACAGTGGCTTGTTGGCTAGCTTGCAAACTCCAGCCTCGGGGCTTTCCCACAATCATTTCCCTTGCCAGGATGTTCTCTTCCCAGACATCTGTCTGGCCATCCCTTTGCCTCCTTAAGTCCTTGATGAAATGGACCATCCCACCCTATTTAAAGGCACCTCCTCTTCCCAGTCCTGACCTCCCTTTCCCGGTTTGTGCGTTTTCACAGATGTGTAAACTTCAGACAAACTGTAATTTACTTTGCTTATTGCCTGTCTCCGTCATTAAAGGTAAGAACCAAAAGGCATGGAACTCTTGTTCCCCAGGACCTAGGATAATGGGATTAAAAAAGGAATAAACAGAGAAGACAAACAGGCAAAACTAGCTCCCAGCATGCCTTTCTCTACATGTAGGGTAGGCCAGTGGGCAGAGATGGGGCTAATTTGCAGCAGACTTTCCAGCTAGCAGGCAGGACCCAAGGAGGCCAGTGCACCATGCCAATATGGGGATGGGGAACAGGGACCTGACCCAGCACTATCCAGAGGGCAAGCACATTGCAAGGAACTCAGAAAGCTAACATGCTTGTGACAGGGTACATACAACTGGAGTGAGTGATCTCAGTGTTAATGCAACTGGGGTCAATGATGCCTATGGTTGTAAGAGTAGAGGACTTGATATCCATGCTCCCCCAGTACAGTGCTGGGCATAGGATGGGCTCAGTGAACAGAGCAGATTTCCACGATTTAGTATCACCAGGTGCTAGCTCCTGAGTTGGAAAAGCTAGCTCCTGAGCCAGAAGAACTATCACCTCTGCATGGCCCCGTGTTGGCTAGCTATGTGCTGCCTCAGGCAGAGCAGCCCTCATTCAGGAATGTACCAAATACCACAGCTTCTGGGCCACTCTGAAGGAAGCCACCACCACCCCAGAGCCTCTTAGGGCTGCAGAGGGTGCTCTCTCACTGGCTTCCTGCTCCTTCCAAATAATATCCCATTACTTTGTAACCTCTGGCCTCTCTGCAGAGCCTAGTTGCTCAAGAGGAAGCCTTAGTCCCATTTCCAAAGACCAGCACTACAGGAGGGATGACATACAGACTATCACACATAGCCCCAAGGCCCCAACACACACACACACACACACACACACACACACACACACACACACTCACACACACACACACACACACACACACAACCACACGACGGCACACGCACACGCACACGCACACGCACACGCACACGCACGCACGCACACACACATGCATACACACTCATGCACACACATGCACACACACCTACATTGTGTTTGGTCGCCATTTCTTTTCCTTGCTCCCTGGTAATTTTCCTCAGGTGCATCAAATCCACCTTGTTGGCCACGAGGATCATTGGGAATGACTCCCTGGGAAACAGGAGAACAATAGCCAAGTGAGATTCATCCTCCTGCCAACAGGACTTTGTGCCATGCCACCCCACAACAACTCGCCAGTGGGCCTCCTCTCTTCCAGAGGAGACAAAGGCTGGAAAGGAGCTTGGGGTCTGTTGCAAGGCTAGTGTTGAGGCTGGCCTGAGGCTGTTGGTGAGGGACCTGGCTTCCCAGACACACTCCTCAGCTCTCCAATGCTCTGATACACAAACCATGCAAGGCTACTACAGTCCTCAGCCAGGGCTTATGAAGAGCACCAGGGACAGGGCTGGTCCTGCACAAATGGCAGCTGCAAAATAAGAATGGCTCCAAGAAGAGGAAGTGTGGGATAGAGAGGCATGCCCCATAAGCATCTTACTGACATGTGAACCAAACAAAACATCAGCCCCATGGCATTCTGGGCAATATTAGGTATTTTCACATTAAAAAAAAAGCCTGTGATTTGAAACTTGAAATTTGTAATTGAGAAATATGCTACCTTTTTATTTCTTTGATTAACAAGTACATTCCCCACCACTGGACACTGAGGGTGTCTCTCTGGAAGTCCGTATATTCATGGGCTGAATGCACATCAGCCAGTCACAGCTTGTTCTGCATGCACTCGCCCCTCTGCCAGGTAAAGTTACAAGCCCTTTCCTGTGGAATAGTTATTGACTGGATTTCTCCACCTTTATTGGGATTTATCAATTCATTTGGTTTTTCTTTCTGCATTGCTTCTTTGGCAGTGTGAGATGGGCTTTAGTGAACAACTTTTACATCTTGTAGTCAAATGCAATTTAGCCAATTCCAGTGTGTTCTGGAGGGGAAATTCACTTTTCTTTGCATATAATGCAATTTGGTTAAATTGGAGTTGGAAAACAAAAGACGTTACCAACCATTCCTTGATTGAAGGATAGTTTATAAAAACGGGAGGGGCATGAGGCTTGGAGTCTTGGGAGTCAAGGGAGACCTTAGAGGAAGTAATGATCTGTAGGGGGGAGAGAAGGAAGGGAGAGGGAGGGAGAGGGAGGGGGTAGAGAGGAGGGCGGGGAGGGAGAGGCAGGATTGTGCTTTAGTAAGCCAAGACCAAGAGTAGGGAGGCCCTGTCTGCTGCCCTCACCTGTCCTTGACACGCAGAATGAGCTGGTGGAAGCGGTCCACGTGCTCGAAGCTGGCCTTGTCAGTGACGGAGTACACGATGAGGAAGCCGTCTCCAGTGCGCATGTACTGTTCCCGCATGGCACTGAACTCCTCCTGCCCGGCTGTGTCTAGAACTAGAGAGGAATTAGGTCACTCAGGGGCTGTCCTTGATCCCGTTGGAGTCACTATAGACTGTAGAACCCCCCAGGCCACTGTGTCTCAGTCCCAGCTATCCTTTCAGGAAGACAGCAGCCGCCTCAGAGGCTGCTTCAGTGTCAGGATCTACCTGGATCATTTCAGCCTCTGGTCTCGCTGGACCACAACACTATGGCCCAAGGACAAGCCTCATGAAGTCACAGATCAATTTTCACAAGCCCCTCTGGAAGACCCCGGAGCTGGGCTTGGATTCCTGGTTTAGCCCTTACAAACTGGGGTTCTCTGCGTGTGCCTGACCCTCAGCACTTCCATTTCCTCCTTCACAGATAGAAACAGGGCCTCCACCTTGAGGCTCTCAGGTGGGGAAAGCGCCAAAGAAACCAGCCCAGTCAGGGGGGCCTGTCTAAGATCTGTGTGGACAGACACCATGCAGGCCTTGAGAAAGGGACAGCCTCCAGGAGTCAAGGTCCACAACCCAGGATGGGAATGGTAGGACAGGGGCATCTGAGGCAGGAATCAGGTGTAGCTGGGGGGTTGTCACTGAAGCCCCCTGACACTGTCACCGCTGGCACTGCATGGTCCCCTGATGCTCATTTTTCCTTCCCTGACATAGAGTGCTCCAATCTAGTTGACATCCAACCCCCCAAATACTTGTGTTGTATTTGCACAACTAAAGGAGTATGCAGCTGGGCAATTATGTCTATTAATTTAAGAAATATCTGAGCACTTACTATATGCCATGCAGGCTGTAGGACCTTTGGTTATAGGGTGAATGGGGGTCAAAATCCAGTAGTGAAACAGATAAGCAATTGAATGGCCGATGTAACTTTACCAGAGGTAGATACATAGTATAAGGGTCAATCTAGTTAGCTGAAGGGTGGCTGCAGCCTTTGTTGTCATTCTGGATAGGTCAAGAAACTACCTCCCAGTGGGTGACCTTTGAGCAATGACTAAATGCAGGAGGGATCAGAGTCATGTGACCCCGGGAGCAACATTCCAGCAGAGGAAACATCCCCCAAAAACTCAAGAGGTAGAGGTATGGCCAACAGCTGATGGGCTGGGGGTGGGCATGGGGGAGGTCTTAAGAGTCTTCCTCATCCTGAGCATGATGGGGCCCAGTGGAGAATGAGGGCTAAGACACAATCCAGAGGACATTGTGAAAAGGCTAGTCCAATGCTAGAGGCTCAGAGGACAAGTCACCAGTGGAAGCAGGGAACTGTTAGGAGGTTCAGGATAATCCAGGCAAGATGTGATGGACGTGGCTGGCCACGGCTGGGAAAGTGACAAGATGCTGAACACTTTCTAAGACATGGCTGAACTGAGGATGCCCTGGGCCCTGAGCTGAGCAACTGAGGTAAAGAAGACAGTTTGTGAGGCTCAGTTTCTCACATGAGCTGCTGAGCCTGGCAGACCCCATGCAACACCTCAAGTCAGATCCTGAGGAGAAAAGAAGGGAGGGCACTCATGAAGAATCACCTGTGGACAAGTGAAAGGAAAGCCACAGGATGAGCAATCTGGGGACCCCCGGGAGTTCTGCCTTTCTTCCTAAATAAAGCCTACTCTAACTTGGTATGGTTGGCTTATGAGCATGGGATGGGTGTGAGCAGAAGACATGATACTAACATTGTAGTTAATATATTCACAGACTTTGAAGCCACGTATTATCAAAACAAACTAGAGATCATCCAAAAAGTAAAGCTCAATACAAATGGGAAAATAAAAGAGACTCCCCTGAAGTCCAACATGGAATCCCAGCACTTGGGAGGTGAATGCAGAAGGACCAGGAGTTCAAGGCCAGCCTGGGCTACAAGACAGTCTATCTTCAAAACAATAACACAAAAACCCTCAGATGACAGCGTCTGCTTTGACACACCTACCTGCAAACACCCGGGACAGACCCCAGCCATGTCCTGCCACCCAGCCTCCCTAGGGGCTGGGACCCTGAAAGGACCAGCTCTCAGGAAAGTTAACTGCCTGTTTTCCCTGCCTGATCAAGAAGGTAGGAGGAGGCCTCTGGGGACAGAAAGTCTTACTCACTGTGGGGGAAGAGGTGTTCTGCCAGTGTGCCCACTGATGCAGGCAGAACTAGGAGGAGTCTAGAGATGGAAGACACCAGTGTGGCAGGATCACGTGCAGACTGCTCTAAGATCTAGTCCCACATGCTAGCATTACACAAGTCTCAGGTGCGTGGGCAGCCAACATTGAAGTGTGCCGGCCAGGGTCTCTGATGTCTCTGTCAAGACTGCCTCCTTCCCCTCCTCCTCCTCCTCCTCTTCTTCCTCTTTCCCTTCTCTTCTTCCTTCTCTTCTTCCTTTTCTCACTTCCTTTTCCCACCTCCCTCTTCCTTCTCCACCCCCACCCCCCCCCCCCCGCTACTCTCTTCCTCGTCTTTATTCATCTAGATGTGGGCCTGGCTACCTGGATGCAGACTAGCTGCCCAGACTCCAAACACATGCTGAAGCTGTGACTTCCAACTTGAAAGCCTAATCCCCCACCGTGGCTGGTTGTCCCAGCTGCCCTTTGGCTCCCTCCTGGGAGGGCTCAGCCTCCGGCTGCCATTCCTGAAGCCTTCCTCCTGCATAGCCCTCAGTTGTTATACTTGTGCTTCTTCACCTGGCTTAGCTCTGCACTTGGTAGCAGAGTGGCAGAGGTCAGGAGCCAGGCACCGGTACCTTGGTTCTTCACCCAAAGACACAGCTCCAAAGAGGGCCCCAAAAGGTGTGCAAAAGCACAAGATGCATGCCCTGACTCAGGCAAGAAATGCCCTGACCTTGGTGACAGGGCCCTTTGAACTTTAAGGAGAAGCACTAAAAACAGACTTATTCAACTTTTCGCTAATGGGGATGGGGGGTGGGAAATGAGGGTTCCAGAATACAGAGCAATAAAGATAGTGATTTCTAGAGATGACACGTCCACAAGGACCCCATCTAGAGACGGTTGCCTTCCTGTACTCCCCACGCTTGCTGTGCGGAGGCAGGGTGATCAAGCCTGCTTTCCTGGAGGCAAGTTAGGTGGGGAAGCCTGTGCCTCCCTATTCAGCGGCAGGCTTGCTCCTTCCTGTCTGAACTGTGCTCCTTCTGGGTCAGGTGCATAACAAGGTAAGACCAGTGTCTGGTGGCCAGGCTGGGTGCATCAACCATTCACTGTCCCCAGAAAAGGGGATTTTTTTTTTTTCAGCTGCAAAGCACACAGGCTATGAAAGCCAGGTCACCCGGGACTGCCTCAGGGAAGGAGCCTACAGCTGGCTCCCTGGCCCTTGGGGGAGGATTCCCTTTGGCAATGACACCAGCTTCCTTAACATGACTGCTAAAGGACACAGCAAATAATATCCCACAGATACTAGCTCTAGCGATGTCTGTTCTTGACGCCATACTATTTCAGTCATGGGGCCTGGAGAGACGGGACTGTGGGGTAGTTGTGTGTGAGGCCCAAGATTCCCTGGGTTGGTGTGCAAATTGTAGGTGTGAGTGTCCATTCTGGGAAGATGCTCCATGGCTTTGCGGAGTTGTGAGAGGAGCCAGGAACACTCACACTCTGATGCTGCTCTCAGGGATGGGAATGTTATGGCCTAAATATTAAATCTGTTGAATGCTTGGATCCAAGCTGGTGGTGAAAACTTGCAGAGGTAGAGAAAGCAGGCCACTGGGGACAGGCCTTTGAAGGGACTCTTGTCTCTGGCCCCTCTCCTCCCTCTCTCTCTCTCAATCTCTCTCAATCTCTCAATCTCTCCCTCCCTTCCTCCCTTCCTCCCTTCCTCCCTCCCTCCCTCCCTCCTTCCCTCCCCTGCTCCTTTCTGTCAAACAGCTTCCCCCTCTCTATATTCCAGCTATAGTGATATACTGCCTTACCTTGGGCCCAAAGTGATGGAGCTAGCAGACTGCCAACCAAGCCCTCTGCAACACTGAGAACAGTGAGCGGCAATAAAGTTCTTCCTTTTAAACCGTGCTCTCGGGTATTTTTCAATGAAAAGACTACCAGATACAGATTAGAAGTTGCAGGGGGCAGCAGAGGTCTCAGTGGTATAGCCAAAGCTCAGGAGCATCATGGGAAGGGAACAGAGCCTGGGAGTGGCCCTGATAGTTGAGGAAAAAAGGAGAGATACAATGCTGGCCCACAACCTGATTCCATCTCAGTGAAAAAACTGAGGCTGGAAAGTTTCAGGCTGGTGTGCTAAAAACTCACGTAGTAGGTCTGTACTCATCCTTGTGTCAAGATCTTTCTGTTCCTTAGGACTACCTGCCTATGAGGGAGACGTTAACAGCAGCATGACCAAAGCCTGATAGCAGGCAGGTAGTATAAAGAAAGGGTAAAGACAGACCCCGGAGGCTGGTGTCACAAAAGGCTTGAGGCTGTACTTTCTATACCCACTCCCAGTTGGCTGCATCACATTCTCCCCAGGCTCTACACCTAACCCCGGGCAGACACGCAGACTTGGGAAGAAAGATGCAAGGATGTGCTCGCTGTTCCCTTTTAATAGGGTCCTGAGCACTAAGGATTCTAAACCAGCTAGCTTCCTATTCCTCTGTAAGCACTACTTCCTCTATTCTCTCTCAGAAGCGAAGCCTACTCAGAATAAATTTCACAACCCCGCCTCCAAACAGCTCACCTCAAGTCTGTGGACCCATCATGCATTGCTGGTGGGATGTAATGTTAAGCCCACGACCCCTAGCAGTGCACCCAGGAGAACTGAAAACTCTAAGTCCACACAGAAGTATGCAGCCGAGTGTTCCCAGCAACACCACCCATCCAAGAGCCAAGAAGTGAAGACAGCCCAGGAACCAACTAAAGAGTGAGCAAAGCTTGTACACCAGTGTCAGCCACATGTGAAAGACAAGAGTCTAAATGCCTACCACAACTCACTGAACCCCGCACGCACCGAAGCCATTCACAAAGACTCATGCTGTGCGATTCTACACATGTAAGACGTGAGAGCATAGAAATATACGAGGACAGAGAGTAGACCAGAGAGTTTGGGGTC